CGACACTATACACATCAAATCATCAATCACATGCTTTGGTGATTCATTGATAAGCTTTTCCTCCCCAGGAGGTCCTCGTGGCAATCATGTTAATAATGCCACAAGATGTCGGCCAGCCATTAGCCTTCGCCATTAGGCCGTACATTTTCCCTTTCTTTTTTTGCAATTAATTTAAAGAGCTTTAAAGGAAAACATCGCAAACAACAATAAAAACTCCCGAAAACGAAGCCGAAATGAAAACCAGAGAATTGGGCATTCTTGTTTATTTTGATTTTGGAAAATCAATTTTGAATTTGTTGTTTATTTTTGATGTGGTTATCCGGCCAGCAGCCATTGGTGTGTAAACAAATCGTACGCTTTTTTCGCGCAGATGCCACAAACAGACAGGCTCTCTGTTTTTTGTGTGCCGTGCTGGCTGAAATAAATATATAAATAAAAACTATATAAAAGGCAAATATTCATGTGGAAAATATAGCTATTGAAAAAGCCGTGCCTGCGCCATTAGTGTCACAAGTGTAATTGTTTTTTAATCGCATTGATAGCGACGCGCCAGCCGTAAATTCCACACACGAAATTATTTCGAGTGTGTGCTAAAACCACTTGAAAAACGCCAAGAGCTTTGAAAGTGACCCAAAAAAACAAAAAACCCGCCGAGAGTGCTCATGTGCAAGTGGGTGTGCGTTAATGCTCATAAACAAACAAAGAAAAAGGAAAGTGGAGAAAGTGTGGGAAGTGGAAGGGCGAGTGGTTGGGAGGGTGTCGAGGGGGCGGAAGTGAAAAGCATTCGACTTAAGCTGTCTACTCACACATACAAATAAAAAACTAAAATGCTGCACACCAAAATGGCGATAAAAAATTTACATAATGGCTAAAGGAAAACATGAAAGCGAAATAGTGGCAAACGTGCAAATGAGAGGAGCACATAAGTGACTGGCAAATGGCAAGTGACACTTGAAAAATGGGAAAGCGGAAAGGAGTAATGATGAAAACGGAGTGACCCATGTGAAGCTACGGTGTTAAGGGGTCAAGGAAGCCTTAGAAATGGTTAAAGGGTACCAGAAAACTCATTATTAAATATTAAAAAATTATTTATTTAACTATTTAACTAGGGCTATTGCATACTTCTAGACACCTTTTAGATTTCGAAGATTACAGTGTTGAGCTTAAAGTTATCTATTAAGGATAATAGTATAAAAGGATAAGCAAATAAATCGCTCATTTTTACACCTCTATATATCCCTACAAGAAACTTTTTCCAAAATTCCCTAATTAAAAAACAAATAAAATTAGATAGTTTCTTCTAGACTAGAGATTTCTTGAAGAGAATTTATGGCCAGTGCCCCGCTTGTACCAAGGAAATCCGTTTGTAATCGAAGTCGCCTCTAATGGCTCCACTTTGCACTGTTCTACTGTTCTGCTAATGGTGCCTCCACTTAGTTCCCTTGGCTTTTGTGCTCAAGACAAGGACTATTGCAAAATGCATTATATCAGTTTTGCCCGGGGCTGCTGCGCCCGGCTTATATATCCTGCCGTATCCTGTCCATATATATATGGAGAGCACTGTAGACCAGCACCCACATATAGACCAGGTCCCGGGGCTGGATTTTAATAAGCAAAAAGGACGAAGACGACGACTACGACTACCATCAGTGTAAAACGTGCCACAAGCACCACAATGTAAGATTTGATAAAAAGCCATAAAAAGCAGAGAGCTGGCTAAACTTAAGGCCAAGACTATAAAATAATAATGAAGTCAATTTCAATGATGTTGCTGTGGCCAAAACAACAAAGCTCAACTCGATCCCAACCCCGTGACCCTGGGAAGCGTTTTCGTTATATTGTTATTATTGCTGCTTTCGACAGCAAAGGGCGAAACTGTAAGGGCAAAAAAATAAGACCAAACAAACAAAACAAAAGCCTCACGTCACTTCATTTCCTGCAGCGATTTTCGTGTCTTGCCTTTGACGTTCCCTTGAAATTTTCCTCTTTTATGGCAATTAGCTTATGATTTTCATTGTTATTGCCGATACAAGCCAGCTGCCCATGCATAGTGCTCTCTGTTTTTTTAATGGTAAATGGTACCCACACGTATGTAATTTATGTGGACAAAAAGTAAATAACTTTGTCATTAAATGGGTAATGGACTAGCTGGTAAAAAAGGGGAGAAACGTCGGGGAAAAGTTCGCTACTGAAAGTATTGCCTAAGCTGTCGTTTTCCCAAGATTGCTTTTTCCATTTTACATTTTCAAGCGAATTCAGCAAACTTTTGGCGGGGCCCACTTAAAACTTGACCACTTAAAAGTTGCCCAGAATGCATAATACCGTCTAAAAACCTCCAGCCACCTGGTGTCTCCCGAGTATTTCTCTGGCATTTCTCCGGGGACAACGACCTGCTGCCCCATTAACAACTGCCTTGTAACGTTCAATTACAATAGCTAATTCGCAGCTAATCCGGGTAGCATGTTTCCGCTCTAATTGGTCAGTGTGTTTTTGCAGGGAAAATGGAAATGGAAATCAGTAAAGGTGAAAATGCTGCTCTTTTCGCACACCTTTTTTTTTGGGGTGGGGGAAAAGGCCAAATCAAAACACACTCCTTGAGTGCGTAAGCGTGTTAGTGTCAAGCGGCTTATCTATTATCATTTCGTTGAATTTTGAATGGGCAGGGCGAGAGCAAAGTAAACCTTTGTCTGTCGCTCGTCTGGGGCTTCATTACGCTTGATTTCTTGTGCCCCCCGAACAAGGACACACACATCCTCCCGTTCGAGGCAAAATAGCTCTTTGTGCGTCCTTCGTTGGGAAGGAGCCACTCTTCGGCTTCATCGTCCTGGCGTTATAATGCCTTTGGTTCTGACCGAAGTCGTATGACTGCTGCACTGGGGGGAAAAATCCTGAAGAGCACAAATATGTGGTTTTACAGATACAAATAAACTCTTAGTTATAAGTGAGTAAGAAATCGTAACATTTTGAATTCGATAATATTTTATTTAGTTTTGTAGGAAAAACACCTATTAAATATCAAGAATTAGAAAAGTAACAAAATTTTTAAAAAATAAAAATCTTTGGAGATATAAAATCACATAGAAGGTGTCTAAAAGTATGCAATACAATTTATTTCTTTCATTTTATACGGGAATTTCAGACAGGAACCGATTAATACACCCAAAGGGATAACTTTTTAAAAGGTTTTTAGCCATTAAAGATTTCTTTGACACATCCAATGATGTATTATTTACAGAACTCTTAACAGAAATTCCAATTAAACATCCATATAATTTTTACTAGTGCAGATACCCAAACAATGGGTCGTAAGAAGGCGTTCTCTCGTCACTTGTTCGACCTGTAAGTGCAAGGACGGACAGTCGAGCAGCGTGCCGACGACAGGATGTGGTCACAGGATGGTCACAGGATGCGAGCAGTGTGCCCAAGGACTTGGAGCTGCAGTCGAGTGACCAACCCAATGACTGACACCACTGTAAACAGCCGGGGGGCTGCGAAATAGGGTCGGGTTGGGTCCTAGGTAAACACACACAGTGCCGGCCACATAATGAACTGGCTGTTAAAAGGGGGTGGAGAAGGAGGTGGGGGTGGCACACCTGTGCTGTCCTTTTCCCATTTCACTCCCCACCTGTTGACTGAAAGTCCTTCGCCGGCCCGTAACACAAAAGCGAGCAACACTTTTTGCACATTTACCAAGTTTATGCAATTTACACAAGCCCGTCAACAGTCACACGTCTCGTTGGGTTCCCTTTTCCCCGCTTTTCCTGTTTCCCCGCTTTTCCTGTTTTCCCATTTTAGACCCCTTTAAGCCATTTAAATGCCCTACTTCCCTGGCCATTCTGCTGCCTTTATGCACACACTGTGCTGACCACAAGCGTTTCGGTCTGAATAATTGACCAACAGACAAAAGCAGCAAAAAAAAGAAGAGAAATGGCAAAAATATATACAAAAAATGGTAAAAAACAGCGGGACCACAGCAAAGCGAAGCGAAGGACATGGACTGCAAAAAAGCAACAAATGAATAAACAAAATTTATGAAGCGCAACCACAGAGTTAAGCGTCCTCCAGTTCGTGATTTAAAGTTGGCCAGCCAACGGGGAGAAATCCCTTCGTATATCACTGTTGGGCATAACCAAAAGCATATGTATTTATGTGCCATCTAGACTCATCAAATTTGTCCAGCAAGGTGTAACAGGAATGTGGTCAGCACACTCGCACAACGGTTTAAACCTTAATTAAATATTTCGCTCGAATTCGGTTTCCTTTGACTAATAGTCTTCTGCCATTTATTTTCAAATATTTTCGCTGGGTGTAAGGTTAAAACTTGTACTAAATAAATTGGAATCTAATAGAGAAAAAAACAAATACAAAAGAATAACAAGGAATATTTTATAAATACTAATTTTACTAGAATTTCACCAAATAAATTGAATTTGGCCAACAATAAAATGTATTTCCCACAAAATAAATAAGTTGAAGCGCTTCTGCTTCTCACTCACCCAAAGAGCAACTGAAATCATCGAATTTGTCCATCAAGGTGTACAAATATCGCAGGTAAACATATTTCTATCTCATATTCGGACAGTTGATAACAAAAGGACTTTCGGCCAGGCACGTAACTAATTTATTTATGTATTTCTTAGTCGCCGCATTCACACAAAGGACCCTCGAACTGCCACTTTTTCCATGTCCTGCAGCTACAGGCACATTAGCCGCAACGGATGTTGGCCTTTTCATGCTCAGTTGGGCACAAAGGAGCGGGTTTTCTTCTTTTTTCTCGCTTTTTGCCCTTCGCAGGGAAAGAAATGTTTTTTGGGCAAACAAGTGGGCAGTCCGAGTGACCGAAATGTCAATAAATTCATATGAAGTTATCTCGGCCAGACAGCTTAATGCGTATTTTTATGGCCTAATCTAGAGTCAAATTTTTCTGGCGCTTCGCTCGAGTGGAATCGTTATCCCAGTCCGAATCCCAAATGGCTCCATAGTCAAATTCACGGACTCACCTCGTTCGAAAACGTTCAAAATGTTCATTCGTTCAATCTGCAAGGAGAGGGAGAGAAAAATGGGGTTCAATCATTGGATTATTAGAAAGTGGCAAACATCACCCCGGAGTATCTATGGCAACTATTCCGTATCCCATGTTCCATTTCCCACATATGCTGACTGCTGCTGTCGGCCATTTGATGAACCCAATAAAGCCAAACACGAAGTGCCACTCAGGCCCAAAGTGACAGCCGAAATGTTGAATAAAATTGAAGGGTTTCCAGCCTGGAGCCTTTTTTGAAGAAGTATCTTATATGGAATCTGGGCGAACTGGGATGGTACTGCACAGAAAAAAAATTCAACATGAAATGGGGTAATTTTTACCTTTATTTCATATGATGATTCAAACATATCAATATACCAAATGTAGTATTTTTTAAAACAATAATGCAAAATACGGTAAACATTATCTTAATTCATATCAAACTGATATGAATAACTTGATCATTTACGATTTAATAGATTTATCAATCTGATCTTTTCCCAATTTTTTTTCTGTGTGGGGCCATTTTAGAAGAAGTATCTTATATTGAATCTGGGTGAACCGGGATGGTACAGTACATAAAAAAGATTAACGCCGGGCCAGGAAAAAAGTGGGTCAGAGTTCTCGTGTTTGACATGGTTCGGTATTCGGGATAGGGGATATGTGTTTGCCTAGTCACCTGACTCTGCAATGTTTATTTGAAGCAAACTCTGCCTCCTCCAATATATCTGGTTCTACAATTGCATTGCATTTCGGCTCTTGCATTATTTATAGAATTTCGTGCTTTATTTTTTATGCCCTGGCATACGTGATTTTGCATAAAATCCCCCTCCAATCCTCATCCCCACTCCACTTTTGGCTTAGCTTTCCTGTTTCTTTCCTGTATTTCGTTTCCCGTGTTCTTTTTTTCCTGCGGATTTGCATTCGCCGCCGTGCACATGGAAATCGCTGGGGCTTCGGGATCCGGAGTCCTTTTATTATTTATGCCCCGGCTGCCACAGCAGACAAAAATTGCTTGAATAAATGTACTGAAAACGAAAGGCGATAATAAATAAATGGGAGCCCAATAAAGATTGAGCGATACTTTAGGAGCATCGCAATTAAAGGGCCAACTTTAACCCATTAAATGCTTATGCGTATTATCTTTAAACGCCTTGGCTACGGATATTTTTGAATGCGGTGCAGGGACAAAGAAAAATGTAGTTACCATGATGAAAAAATCTAAATAAATTACAACTTTTAATGTCAGCTCCGATAAAAACATTTGTCTTAAAGGCTTTGTGAGCCTTCAAAATATGATATCAGCATTTTTCTGACAGCTAGAACTTTTTTTTCTATTCTCGTTTATCTTTGTTTAAATAATTCACTCTATATAAAGACTTTATCTTTGTCCTAACAATCAATGAATGAACTTGGTGGAAAGTTTTCCCCGAACTCCCCATCAATATTAATAACCTTTCTTTTTCTTATCGATAGCCAAGTTGAATTGACCTATTAGGCGTTCTAGGGTTAATGTATTCCTCGTTTGCAAGTTATTTCAGATCACTTTTTCGACCCTTCCAGATGCCTTAAATTAGGACACAAATCAGATTCGCACATCAGCGGGGGTTAAGCAGGTTATCCAAGTGTTGTGCCAACATTTGCAGGTGTTGACCGGGCCAAATTGAATAACATACGGGGGAGCCTAAACGCTCGGGACAGACCAGACCCCCTGAACATAGAGAGGGGTTAAGGTGGGCGTGTCGGGGGCTGTCTTCTGTGTTTATCAGCGCATAAATACTAAAGCAAATGTACTGTTAACTCGTATTTCCCGTACACAAAGTGTGAATGGAAGCAGGTGAAGCAAGAGAACCGCAGAACCCAGAACCCAACTTAAAGACAAGATAGTAAACTAAGGAGGAAACCTCATTGCTAAAGCATTACGTAACCTAAAACGCGACCCAAGTTAAGGTACAAAACGGAGCTACGTTGGCTAACTGGAAAACTGTGTAAATAAACAGTATTAAATTTTCCGCTTGACGGCTAATAGAACGGCGGACGGACACGCAGGGCCCCAGTTCCAGTTGTTGCCGCAGAGTATCGATTCCCCCGCCGGAGTACTCGATGCCCCGAGGGGATGGCGATGGGACTGCCAGATGATATAGCTGAACTCTACTCCTAACTAAATTTACAACAACTTAAGCCATAAAAATTGAAACGATAGCCGTAAAAATAAGGCTACATTGGAGGACTGCACAGGGAAAAAATGTTGGGGGACTTTACTTAAAAATGGGTTTTCTCCAAAACTAGTTTTATAATTTTCTCATTATATAATCTTTTAAATTTATTAACATTATTTTTAGACTTTTTTAAAACTTTTCTTTTTAATTATTTTTAAGTAATTTATTTTTGACTGTGTAGCTCCTGTTCTTCCTCCCCTCCTGCACTTTCTATATATTTCCCTACTCTCATCTTGCTATCTGCTACCCAGCAGGCAGGCCATAAGGTGGGCGTCCTTGGGGGGGCTGGTGCTTCTTTTTTTAAGGGGCGTGGCAACTGCTGATGCTGCGTCTTGGTTGGGCGCCACTTAACGCCACTGACAGCAGGTCTCGTTCCCATTTCCCCATTTTCCTTGCCCGTGCTAAAGTTCATTGGGGGCCAACAACAGTTTTCTTTTCCTTTCGCTTTCCCATGTTGTTTTCCTTAAGAAGAGCGCACGGCATTTTCGTAACTTTCGTGGCACGAAGCAGACGAAAAACTTTTCCTCTATGGTGGCTATGAGGTCGAGTTGCCAGATGAGGCGGCATTTCTCCGTACTCCCAAGCTCTTAAAACTCTTCTTTTTTTGCAAGTGACGTGTGAAGGTGTTCGCTGCTATATGTGTGGATCCGTCCTAATTTGCACCAGATGCAAAGGAAAACACGATGCAGAAAACTCTAGAAACTAAAGGCATCTTTAAAGATAGGGGGATAATTTATATAGGAAATTTAGATGAGAGGGAGAATTAACCTGTAATTTTAGGTCTCATCTATATTTTGAGTACTGAAGAAATATAAAATTATATGCACATTAAATTAGGTTTATATGATCGTTATTTAATATCAGAAATTGAAATAATCTCAAATACTATTTTAAGCACAGTTCACTGTGGCACATAAATTTAAATCAAGCCCAGTAATTCCCCCCACCCCCTGTATATGTATATGTAAAAGTATCTTGTACTAAATTACCGTTGAATAAAAAAAAAAAAAAAAAAAAAAAAAAAAAGGGAAATGCTTTTCACCCCCTGCCCACACACACACACACGCCACACCCACTCACACAGCCGCACTTGAACAGGCAGCTCTTCAGACACGCATATGCAAGGACTTAGTTTTAACCCGGGGCTATCAAATCTTGTAGCTGACATTTATGCGAGTCTAAGTTCTATTAACGTACTCCCACCGAAACTCTCTCCACTGCACAAGTGTGTGTGCATGTTTCCTTTGCCATTCAACGTCTGCAGGAGTGTGTGTGAGTGGGTGAGTGTGTGCGTGTTGACATTGATTGCGTGCGTGTTGCTGACAGTTGTCCGTACAAGCTTAATGGCTGTGCGATTTTAATTGAATAATATGCAAGCCCCTGAGCCGAACCTCAATCCTCAATGCTCTACACTCCATCCTCATGGAATCCCCATGGGTTTTCCACCCCCTCGTCCCCCACCAAGATAAACAAAGACGATCCCGAGTTGGAGTCATCGGGGGTCCTGTGCATATGACATGGGCCATGTTTACTTGGACTCTGACTCGGTTTGGCCCCCACTTCCTTCGGTTTTCTTGGCCTTTACTAGCCTTGTCCCTGCTGGCCAAGATTTAGTAGCGCCATAATTGTCAATGGGCCATTAGTACGATGTCCTGGATGTCCTCGTCCTCCTGCCCCCTGCGGTTTTGTCAATCACTCAGCCGTAAGCCTCAGAGATGGCAGCGTGATAGAAATTAATATTATTACTCTGGTGCACTTGGAATAAATACTGGATTTATGTGCTGGATTGTATGCGAAGGGAACCAATAAAAATTACTAGGGCTTGATATCATTTATAAAGCTGCTTAAAAGTATGCAACAATACATTTGTACATTTTCCATGGAAATTCCCAAATATAAATTAATTTTAATAATTATAATTGCATACATTTAGACACATTAAAATATAATTACTAAACAGTTGTGAAATATGGCTCTATGTAAGCAGTAAGTTTTTTTTGATGAGGTACAATTAAAATTACTAGGGTTTTGTATGCAAGTATGCAATAATATAGTTGTATATTTTCCATAGAAATTCCCAAATATAAATTAAGTTTATTAATCATCATTGCATACTTTAAGACACCTTAAAAAATTATTATCGAACGTATGAATGTTAGCCGTAAGTTTTCTCAATTTCTCCCTATGTAGAGTCATAACTAGAATCACAACTTTTGCTTTGGTCACGCACTCATCATTGATTCGTCGATGATTATGAAGTTGGCCTGTCCGGACAGACTGTTTCACATATTTTTATTGACATCGGAGGCAAACAAAGCGGAAGTCATCTCCATCTCCATCCCCAATCCTCCATCATCCATCCTCCATCCCCCATCCCGATTTCGATTCCGATTCCATTATTACTCGAACTTTGCGGATGCGTGCGGGAATTATGCTCGCATGAAAAATCGATGAATTATTGTATTTAATGTATACATGGCGAGCCATCTCGGTCTTCCTCCCCGTATTATTATGAATTACTGCCGGACCAGCGACTTTGATCTGACAGGTCATGCGTTAAAGTTGACTTTGGATGCCTGAAACAGGACACAGGCATTCCAATTAAAGCTCGTCCGCCTCCCGGGGCAAATATTTGTGATGTTTGTGTTGCGGTAGCCATAAATTAAATTAGAATTCAATTAAACGTTTGCGGCAATCACGAATATCGAAGACAATTAGTCGAAGGCTCGTCTTAATGTCGCAAATTAAAGGCGGGTGACCCCGATCACAGGCCAAGAAATTAATTCGTCGCAAAG